TTACCATGCTGACTCAGGGGAATGGCTACCACGTCACAGAGATCCACCTCACGAAGCAACACAGAGAAGATGCCTAGCTGACTTCTGGAGCCGCTTTTCTAATCTGTACTATGGTTTGCAGGAGAGGTGGCTCAGCAGTTAAGATCACGAGCTGCTCTCCCAGAGGTCCTGAGAGTGGTTTCCAGGACCCACAAGGTGTGGCTCACAACCACTTGTTATTCTGGCTCCAAAGACCTGATGCCTCTGGCCTCCTGGGGTATCTGCACTCATGTGCCCATAACCAACCATACCTGTGCCCTGACATAGCTGGGCACACAGTGGTGTGTTTTAAAGTGGAAGTTATTCTGATAGTCCCCTCTCTATTGGCGAATCTACTGCATAAACTGATTCCAGAGTCCGAGGCTGATTGCTACCTCATACAGCCAGAGAGACGGACTTGTTTTTACTTTTTGTACTTTTTGGTTTACTTGTTTTTTATTATTATTTATTTATTTATTTATTATGTATACAATATTCTGTCTGCGTGTATGCCTGAAGGCCAGAAGAGGGCACCAGACCTCATTACAGATGGTTGTGAGCCACCATGTGGTTGGTGGGAATTGAACTCAGGACCTTTGGAAGAGCAGGTAATGCTCTTAACCACTGAGCCATCTCTCCAGCCCCGGTTTACTTGCCTTTGAGACAGTGTCTCACTGTGTAGCCCTAGCTGTCCTGGAACTCACTCTATAGACCCAGGCTGGCCCCAAACTCACAGAAATCTGCCTGCCTCTGCCTCCTGAGTATTGAAATTAAATTCGCCATCACACAGAGTAAAGGCTAGACTTCTTTCTGGGCAGTGGTGGTGCACATTTTTAATCCTAGCACTTGGGAGGCAGAGGCAGGTAGATCTTTGTGAGTTCGAGGCCAACCTGGTCTACAGAGCTAGTTCTAAGACAGCCAGGGCTACACAGTAAAACTGTTTAAAAAAAGAAAGAGTAAATGAACACCACAGCCCAAGGGCTACTACTATCCTCACTACTTTCTCACTTTGCTGCAGACTGCCCTAACCTCTCTGGGTGACGCCGCCTTGCTGCTGACCAAGCTTCTGTTTGCCTTGTGTCTCCACTGAATTCCTTCCAGGGAGAGGAGAGAGCCACGGAGAAACACTTGCCCAGGAGATCCCTGCTGAAGCTGAACTAAACTATTGCTCTCCATGGAAAAACTTTACTTTCTGAGATGGCGGCCACTCTACCTGTTCAAAGAAAATCACTTCAAAGTCCTGGGGTGCGTTAGGTGATCAAAAATCCTCACATGAAGCTGGGCAGTGGTGGCGCAATGCCTTTAATCCCAGCATTTGGGAGGCAGAGGCAGGTGGATCTCTGTGAGTTCAAGGCCAGCATGGTCTACAAGAGCTAGTTCCAGGACAGGCTCCAAAGCCACAGAGAAACCCTGTCTCGAGAAAAACAAACAAAAGAGAGACAGACACACGTTGGCCACTACTGCTGTAAAGGAATCATCTATATAATCGTGGCTGCATTCTTGAGACAAAAATGGCAGCCTATCCTCTGTCATTTTTTGCTGAAGACATTTCTATAAGTCTGTCATTATATAACTGACTTATAGGAATGTTTTCACCAAAAAGAATCAAAAACAAAAAAATTATAGAAAGGTCTTCTTCTGGATAGACGGGGAAATGCAGGGGTTTAAATACCACACCGTATTAGAGACAGTTCCCTGGTGGCACACATCAGCAAACTGCCCTGTTCCGAGTGTTCTTGGGAGTCATGCAGAAAATTCTGGAGAGTCAGGCAGTGGTGGTGCACGTCTTTAATCCCAGCACTCGGGAGGCAGAGGCAGGCGGATCTTTGTGAGTTCGAGACCAGCTTGGTCTACAGAGCTAGTTCCAGGACAGGCTCCAAAAACCACAGAGAGAGGGCTGGAGAGATGGCTCAGAGGTTGGGAGCATTGCCTGCTCTTCCAAGGGTCCTGAGTTCAATTCCCAGCAACCACACGGTGGCTCAAAACCATCTGTAATGGGGTCTGGTGCCCTCTTCTGGCCTGAAGGCATACACACAGACAGAATATTGTATTCATAATAAATAAATATATATAAAAAAAAAAAACAGAGAAACCCTGTCTCGAAAA